TGCGTCAGCTGTGGAGAAGGTCCAAGTAGTGTGGCTTGGTTTAACCCGCACTCGTTTGCGACGGCAGGGGGAGGTGCATGCAGGTACGTGCGCGTACCTACTGTGGCCGAGGCTTTTGAACAAATCACCGACCTAGAGGCACTGTGCTTGAGCGTGAACTCGAGGGCTGAAGATAATTGACCTGGATGGCAGATCGTGGGTAGCACGAAATTGAAGATGAGACGACAAGAAGCTGGTGAGCTAACTCAGTCGCGGCCACTTGCCTTTTGTTTAGTTCGTAACACTAAGTATCTCACTTTTCTCACTGAATTATGACACTGCACTGCTTACCTCGTGGTGAGTATCCTGGCAGGATCGCCACTTTGTGGAATCTTAAAATAAGCTTACCCCGGGATCGAGGATAACGTAGGTACGAAGCAGGTGAACACAATGATGAGACAGCGAGTAAAAAAAGACTTAGGTTTATCAAATACAGAAATAGTGGCTGTTAAAATATAAAGAAACTTTCGGGAATGATCGTGACTTGAATAGCAGCAGACAGGCACATGCCGAAGTCTACGCTGATTGCCGATATATTCTAACACGGGAAATAATGTTCTTAGTAAATAATTATCTTTTTTTCTCATTGACCGTTACTTCAGCATTGATAAATTTAATTATTATCTTTTTAAATTTACTAAAAAAGTCACTAGATTTTTCAAAGTCACTTAATTTGATTTCATCTAATTTATTTCTTGCAATGCTGTTGATTCTCTTCAGTATAACTTATCTAATTTTTTGATAATCTTATACGAGCTTGTTTCCTCATGTATTATTTCAAATTGATTTATAGTTAAAGCAATAAATATGGAGTTAATCCCGTCTAAATCTTTTTCTTTCCAAGCTGATTATGTTTCGTTTTGCTTTTTTGTTTCTTGTTTAATCATATATTTACATTTTCTCAACCTTAAATACGTCAATATTCTCTTTTTCTGCAAACTATTATTACTACCATTAAAAATTGGTTACATAAGTTTAGTATCGTCCACCATCTTGTCTTCTTCCTTCTTGCTTTTGACTGTTTTTAACATGCACAGCACATTTTTAATAAAAAAAAAATACTTGTCACGTAGTCTCTGTATTTTTTTTAACTTAAAATTTGCAGTGTTCATCTCTTTTAAGATTTTTTTGTCGTCGATCTATTCAGTTCTTTCTTTACCTTGTATATTTTTTATGTGCCTATACTCATTTACTTAAATACGATATTATTTCCTTCAGATGAAATTTACAATTACTATTGAACGCGCCCCATACGTGGCCACAGTAGCACAGTAGTTCAAGCTCCGGTTGTTGTAGCTCAGGAGCTTGGTAGCATATGCTTACAAGTTCAAAACTCGGCCATTACTAACTTGTCTTGCGCCTCTAGAAAACTTATTTCTGAAGGGCGTTTTTTCAACTGTGATCCGATGATTTGGAAGCCATGTAAAATAACATGCTCCTATTGATGGGTAAGTGATTAACATAACAATAAAACCTAAGGCAATTTTTTAACATGATAATTACGATAGCATATATATACATAGAGTAACACAGCAATGCAGAGCCGTTATATGTACTGTTCGTCTGAATGGCTGTGCAATAAAAAAAAAAAAAAAAAAAAAAAACGCGCCTCATACAATATGTGACATTGACTTCCTTATGTCTTGAGACAGTCTTGATTTCTTTATTATGGATGTAAAATCATCAACAACTCTGTTGAATCTTGCGTCATATATATGTGACTGCTTTGAAGTCAAGGTCCTTGCTGCTATTCTTTAGTGACTTGTGCTAAAGAAAGTTGGCCAAACAGGATTTAAACCACTACAATCAGCTTCAAAGAGTAAACGAGACCATTTGCAAGAGCACCTTGATAAGTTAACAAAAAATAAGATCAATATTTTTGTACTTTTAAACTGTAGAGCAAAGTACTGTTTTAAACAAGCAGCAGAATTACAAACCGATACATTAAAATTTAAAAGGGTTTGTGGCAGCAAAGCAGAACCGAAAAAAGATAAATTTGATTTTTGTAACAATTGTCGCTTATGTTAGACATAAAAAATTTATCCTGGTTGTGCCTCTTAAAGAAGCTGTCAAAAATCTTACATTACTATTGCCAGTATTAAAAGATTTTATTCAGAATGTTGATTTCGAGCTTCAATAGGCAAAATATTATTAAAATTGCTTTATTGAGTTACTCAAAATACATAAAAACTACCGTCAACAAACGCTAAGTTTTGATAAGTATTAAAAATTTAATGAGCACGTGAAAAAATTCATAAGTATATGTTAAAACTATGAGGATTGCCAGTTATTCCTAGATCAACTGAAATATGTTGCTAACACAGACAATAATGATACAGTAGCTTGTACAATAATTACGAAGTAGCAGAAACATTAAGGAGAAAGGATCATAGTTGGAAGCAAATTACACATGAGTACGTGTATACTTTTAGAAAACTCATTGTACGATGTCTTGCAGGTAAGTTTTAAAAGTAATTACCAAGATCTAGAGACTAAGGAATTAGAAATACTTGAAAAGACCGAAAAACTCTTAGAAGAATGATAAAAAAACTAGTTTGTAACTCTGCAAGTAACAAAATTTTAAATAACGTTCGAAACTTATTTAAAAATATTGCTGCATACTTTTTATAAATTATTGACAGCATTAGTTTACGTTAACATCAAAGAACAAACACAAGATGGAAAAACGCGTATGATATCTATTGTGCACAGAGTTTGAATAAACTGTTAGCACCGAAAAAAATTTCTTATGTTATTAGGAAGTTTGCATATTATACACGGTAAATAAAACTAATGCAATACAAAGTCTTCATTGAAGGTTTATAATAAAATTGTATTATACTTGTGTTACTTTTTACGTTTTAATTTTACTTCCAACTATTTGCAAATTCTGTTATTAATTATTACTGATAGTTTAGTAATTTGAAGAAAAAATAGCATGTATGTTGTGTTTATCTTAAAATGTATAATGTTACCTTAAACAACATTAATCTAGTTCTTGATTGTTTGTTGTCTTTATTGTAAATGGACATTTTACCACTGAAGACTGCAGTCATGGAGAAATCGTGCATATAAGAATTTAGTTTAAGACGCGCTTTTGACTCACACGCTGCTTATATAAATGAAGTAGAAAAAGCGCCGATAGCAAGTCTTAATGCCTTATCTCCAAGACCCGAGCATTCAGTGGCAGTGTTGCAGCGTTTCTCCCTCTCTAGAATCAGCTACCATACAGCCAATCAACCTGCAGAGCTCTAGCCTTGCTAAAATTATTTTAGTACCGCACTGTTTGTCACTTACAAACAACTAAAGTAATACGTGATGATCATGTATTTAAAATTTTGTAGCTTGCTTGCGATCATACTTCAACACCATTATGAGTCATGAAGTTGAAAGTCAGCATTATTCAGTGATGACTCCACTTTCAATGATACAGTGGATAAGCGTATAAGGAAATTAACGAGTTCTTCATTATAATTCTTTCTCATAATATAATAACATCATTGAGCCATGTCCATGGTTTGCTTTGGCTGCCATTTGATACTATCACGAATCACAAAATGCAGAGTTAGAACAACACGGGGGTGACTTATTCCTAACAAATAATAGTTTTCATATTTTAAAGAAAACACTAATCTGAGAATTGGTAACTAAAGTTGCTAAGAATTAACATCTTAATTGAATTCCGGTTTGAACTTATTTTGTTTGTGCAAGCAGTCTGTCTCTAGGCTTGCTTGCAGAAGCAGCCTAATTCTGATGATATACTTTTAAATTTCTTTTTATGAAAGCAATACTTCGGGTGTCAAGAAAAATTTTAGCTTGTTGATCTAACGCTTGCGCATTACAAAAACTTTTTCCTTTAAATACATGTCATATCTGATTTATTTAAAATTTATAAAATATAATAAGTTTTGTTTACTGAAATAAAAAAATTTTTTTTCTTTCTTCCTTACTTTACACTAAAGTACTTTCATTTCTCTTAAGTTAGTCCCAAGTTCAAGCTTACTTAAAAATGTATAGTCCACTTAGAGATAAGCTAAGCAAAAGTCGTCACCTAACAACCTCACCTTTTCAGGTAGTCTCTAACGAAAGCGTAATAGCTAAACTTTTCAGGGATAGTTAAAGTTTATCTGAGATGTACAGATCATCGTCAAACGCTGGGATATCTTATTAAAAGTTTAAAGTTGAATAACCCAGCGAGTTTAGTGCTTATCAAATATTTATTCGTCTGCAATTATTTCTTTTTATTCTTGATTTATTCAAGTAGTTGCTTATTACGACAAACCTTCTTATTTGAAATACCTATATAAAGTCAGTGATAATGTCCCTTATTCTTCATTTCCATGTGATTGTTAACAAATATTCTATATCTAATAAATATTTAAGTTTTTAAAAATATAACTTTTTCAAGAAGTGTGGTTGATCAACTGAAAATTTCTGTAATATTAGTCA